CCTTCCCCCCTTGCTGAGTGAGTCCTGTCAATCAGGCTTAACATCCCAACAAGGCGTCGTGTGGTTGGTCAGGTTCAAAGGATGCCCCTCAGGCCCAGAGGTCATTGGCCTGTCCAGGTGTCCCTCGGGCGTGAGCCACAGCACCGGGGAATGGCACAGCGGGCCTTCTCCTGACTCACAAATGGTGCTTTAAAACTTTTGTTTCATCTTTCATTGCTCTATTTTGTTGTGGTGTGTTTTAAACTTTCAGGTCCCTTCCCCAGGTGTGCCAATACCTGTCTCCCTTCCCCCCTTGCTGAGTGAGTCCTGTCAATCAGGCTTAACATTCCAACAAGGCGTCGTGTGGTTGGTCAGGTTCAAAGGATGCCCCTCAGGCCCAGAGGCCATTGGTCTGTCCAGGTGTCCCTCGGGCGTGAGCCACAGCACCGGGGAACGGCACATCGGGCCTTTTGCTGACTCAGACATGGTGTTTTAAAACTTTTGTTTCATCTTTCATTGCTCTATTTTGTTGCGGTGTGTTTTAAACTTTCAGGTCCCTTCCCCAGGTGTGCCAGTACCCGTCTCCGTTCCCCCCCTCGCCCCCTTGCTGAGTGAGTCCTGTCAATCAGGCTTAACATCCCAACAAGGCGTCGTGTGGTTGGTTGAGTTCAAAGGATGCCCCTCAGGCCCAGAGGCCATTGGCCTGTCCAGGTGTCCCTCGGGCGTGAGCCACAGCACCGGGGAACGGCACATCGGGCCTTTTCCTGACTCACAAATGGCGTTTTAAAACTTTTGTTTCATCTTTCATTGCTCTATTTTGTTGCGGTGTGTTTTAAACTTTCAGGTCCCTTCCCCAGGTGTGCCAATTCCCGTCTCCCTTCCCCCCTCGCTGAGTGAGTCCTGTCAATCAGGCTTAACATTCCAACAAGGCGTGGTGTGATTGGTCAGGTTCAAAGGATGCCCCTCAGGCCTGGGGGTCATTGGCCTGTCCAGGTGTCCCTCGGGCGTGAGCCACAGCACCGGGGAACGGCACATCGGGCCTTCTCCTGACTCTCAAATGGTGCTTTAAAACTTTTGTTTCATCTTTCATTGCTCTATTTTGTTGCGGGGTGTTTTAAACTTTCAGGTCCCTTCCCCAGGTGTGCCAATAGCCGTCTCCCTTCCCCCCTTGCTGAGTGAGTCCTGTCATTCAGGCTTAACATTCCAACAAGGCATCGTGTGGTTGGTCAGGTTCAAAGGATGCCCCTCAGGCCCAGACACCATTGGTCTGTCCAGGTGTCCCTCATCCCTTGAGACCCCGCCCCTCCCACCTGGTTGGTGGCTCACCTGTCCCCTCCCCTCCCCTGAGCTTAAAAGGTGAAGCAGGCCATGTGCTCTCCATTCTGTTGGAGCTCTTCCCTGTAACCATGGAATAAACCACTGGATATAACCCTCCAGCAGAATCCTCTCCTTTTTTCTCTTCACCTTCACCTGAAGCTTCCTCCTGAGGTAAACAGAGTTCCTAACAAGCCTGGACTTGTTTGGTGCCCAGCTGCAACCACCAGCAAGCTGAAGGTGTCTCTGGGGTGATAAACCACAGTGCCACCTTTGGCCTGGCAGCGAGGGTCAGACTGGCCCAGGCACAATCTCACTGGTGATATTGGGATTCAGATTCCAATACTATTTCTCTAAAGTATTAAATCATCTTTTTGTAAAGTTAACCTTTAAAACTTGTTTCTAATTCTAATTGTCTGTTCTATTTTATAACATTTTAAAATCCACATTTCTTACCTCAAAATTCACGTACATGTGAAATTTGCATACTATGTGAAATTTCTGTTAAAATTTAAGAATTTTCTACAAATCCATTGCTCCTGAGCAGCTGCAGAGGTCTCAGAGACTCTCCACCCCTCCTGGAGCATAGCTCTATTTCACTAAATAATACATCTTTTTATTGGTAAAGTTATCCTTTAAAACTTGTTTCTAATTCAACGTCTGCTCTATTCTATTACATTTCCAAATCAACATTTCTTACCTCAAAAATTGCATACAGATATGAACTCTACGTTCATATACTATGTGAAATTTCTGTTAAAGTTTAAGAATTTTCTACAAATCCATTGCTCCTGCAGCAGCTGCAGAGGTCTCAGAGATTCTCCATCCCTCCAGAAGCATAGTTCTATTTCTCTAAAATATTAGATCTTTTTTTTTTAAATTAACCTTTAAGCTTGTTTCTAATTCATTTTCTCTCCCAACAACTGTCTGTTCTGTTCTATAACACTTCCAAATCAACATTTCTTACCTCAAAATTCACATACAGATGCATACCATGTGAACTTTCTGTTACATTTTAAGAATTTTCTACAAATCCATCCCTCCTGGAGCAG